GTGTAGGCCTGAGTATCAATGAGAAGAATACAAACATCCACAACTACTATCACGATGGAAAGAAAATCAGTATTGGTTAATAACAACTAGAATGCGACGGAGCTGCCGCAATCCCTATTTTCCCTCGAACTGGGTTCCAATCCCGTCGGGATCGGGATAAAAACCCCGGTCCCGCCGCACCTTAATGGCGACATCGCAGAAGTTTCAATATCTTAAATGATCGACGTTTTTATTTTCCAACTTTTTTTTTCGTTCGGATATTTTTCCTTTGACTTTTTTTTCTTGGCGTTTTCATTATAAATTATCAGCATAGTCAAAATATGAATATATATGATATTCATTGCGCTAACTTACTGTGTTCGTTTGCGCTGCTGACATTGCTGCTCCGTGCTGCATGGTAAGAAATCAATGCCATGATAGACCCACCAACAATAAAAAGAAGTATGAGCATTGTGCAAAAAATGCGTGAGCGCCGTTGGCTAGAAAAAAAGAAGATTGACATATATTATCTCTCATTTTTCGACGATAAAATGTTTACTGTACTTTAAAAAGCGTTTTGACGCAGCTGTGTTTGTAATTGTTTTTAGTTGTTCGTTATCCGTCATCATTTCTTGTAATTCTGATTTGTCTTCAGCTTCTTGATAGCTAGTGGACATCCTAGCAAATTTCACTGTATTTATTCTTTTGTTTCGTTTAATTTAGTGTACAATCTAAAATAAAGAATAACTTTGAAATTGAATATTTAATTCCAGAATCGGTTTCACGCAACAATGAAAAAGACGATAGCAAGAAAAAGGCTAGTAAGATACCGAAGAAATATTTCCGAATACATCGCATTTCGTGATGTTGAGCATCACGCCATCAACTCCGCTCCATGAAACTAATATCCAAGATTTCAAAAATCGGTTTACCAGAAAGTTTTATAGTAATATTTGGGATTCTAGAACCACCAGCTCTATCACAGACTTCGTTAGTTCAATTATTAGATTAGATACATTCGGTATTGCACTAAGATAATAAAAACTCACCCATAAGTTCTTTCAATATAATCCCAATGTTTTCATACTTACCTTTACCAAACGTATTGTTCTTGGAGTCTGCTCAGCTTCACATTCACAGAATTTTATTCCAATCGAGCAGTTTTCCTACTTACTTTCACCAGTGTCAATGGGAAACCTGAATTTCAATAATGTGACTTAGTTTGTTGAGCATTTATCAATGGCGAAGGTCTTGGGGTACACTGGACAAAGTATAATCAAATGTTGCTAGTTATTGCCAACGAATATGATTGTAAGATACATATGAAAACTCATGAACTGAGAAGTCCACATCTTTTTCTCCAAAAATCTTTCAAAAACGTTTTCGTCACTCCAAATCCACAGCTCACTAATGAGACAAAGGGTGTATGACTATATCTCGCTACTCTCAATTATCAATATGATCAATACAAAACTTTCTAATCCTGATATATATTACACTCGAGTTAATAAAACACTATACAATATATTACCAACATACTGATAACTTGTTTTAATGCGCTGTAATAATTTCAATGAGGCCATTATTCTTTTTATTGCGTTTTTATATGTTTGCTTCACTCTTATCTTCTATAATATTCACTGATAAATTCGACATTAAAGTAATAAATTTTAGCAGGTAGAGATGTTTCATTTATATCTACAGCATTTCTTTTATTTCGGTTACAATGAAGAACTGGCCTTATAGCAAATGTCTATATAATAATATTAAAAACACTGCCCCAGTATCCACTTTTGAGGATGAGAGTATGATAAAAAAGAAAAAGTGATACACATACTGTCACCTTTATTGTTGGGTGTGGGTAATAAATTAACCTGTCATCTACAATTTCACTAATCCTTCAGATGGACTTCATAGGATTGGGGGTGTGGGTGGGTGGGTGTAATTTTGAACCCAGATCTACCCTCAAGTTCTAGGATAGACAAGACAATCTGACAGATTTTAGACGTATACTAAACAGTTCTGAAGAATTTTGTAGAATCTTAATGAATCATAGAAAATTTATGGGAATTCACGATTCCACTCTTTCCCCCTTGACGTCTGGCTGTGTGAGGATGAAGGTATAGGTAGAAGGTCAATATATCACCAACAGCCACCCATACCTACACTCTCATTGTTTAAGAGAACATGTATAGTTATGATAAAATAATTCTTTGCTAGCATAGATAAGGGCATCAACAAAAGCTGCTTTAATGTGGCCTACCTGTTAAGTCTTTACAAAAAACAAGTATGAAGAATTAATCATCTCATATAAAAAAGCACACGTTGTCAATGTTTACTGACATCTTTTGTCATAGTGAAGGAATGTTTCTTTTTCTTCTCTCATGTGAAATTTATTAAAAAAGAAAAGTATTACACATTATAAAAGAAATATATTTCAATATTATGAAAAATGTCTATACAAAAAAATATATTTCCCGATAGATCTTATCTTAAACAAATAAATAAAAATTTCGATTATCTAGTTAAATTAATTCAAACTACTTATAAACCATTATCATCATCTTATGAAAACTTATTTGATCAAATCAAAATCGACAAATTCAATTATTAGCAAATATAAATAATTTACATCAAGTATGGCATTTTTTATCAATTACCCCAACATCTTATGATTGTTTGACTTTTATTGACGAACTTTATCAACTTACATTAACTTTTTCTTCAGTTAAACAACATTTAGGTAGATTATATTATTCATTTTTATTTTGTTTATAAAATATATTTTTCATTAATTTAGCATTATGTTCAGAAGATTTTCTCTTAGCATTAGGTATTTCACATGATGATAATATAAGATTTAGTTATTTTAAAATATTAGCTTTCTTAATTAATAATCCTCAACCAGATAGTAAATAAACTATTGCACGTTTTAATCGAATATGTTATGAATGTCTTTATGATTTTAATATTTATTATGAAGAAATAAAATGTTTTGCAATTGAATCACAAATTATTGATTTAACAAAAGATCATTTCAATCATTTAATTAATGGAGAAAATATTCGCATAGATTTAGAAAAGGAAATAAACCAAATAATTGAAGAATTAGGTGGATATGTATTCTTTAAAATGCATAGAAGTCCAAAAGATGCTTACGAAAGTAAAGTTTTTTTCTCATATGAAGTATAAGAATCGAAATATTTTGATTTATTTCATTAGATCTTAGTACAGAAATTAATAATGAATGAATTCGTATTTGGAATTTAACAGAAGATGAAGATCCTTATTTGAATTTTATGAAAATTCAAAATGTTAATCAATTAAAATTACTTTTTAAAAATAGTGATCGACTTCGACAAGATTTAAATGAACTATCTTCAAATGAAAAAAATTAATTTTACAAAAATGAATTTCAAATATATCAAATGGATATCGATGTTTCATTTGTAATGAAAAACTAAATGCCATTTCAACATATGGATCACAACAAAATTCAATAGAGAATGAAAAAGTTTTTAAATTCCAAAAGTTTTCAAGATATTATGTTAACAATTCCATATAGACATGGAGTTGTTGATTGCGCCATAGATTGGTTTAATTATAATGTAATTATCATAGAAATAAATCCATTTAGTAAACGATCATCAGCTGTTAAATTCTAGATACTTTTCAGCTATTCGCAAATAAGAGAATTTTAACAAGTTCTAATGATTAATAATGATTTATTGTTAATTACAGTAATTCATCTTCTAATGTTTCGTACAAATTGTATAATATGACGGTACATGGAAATATTACAAGCGTATTTCTACCGCATATATGATTTGCATGAGTACAGCAAATGAATTAATTTATCTGTTCGTGTAATCCACGTAAGCTATCAAGGCTGGTGCATGAAAGGAAACTTATCCACTACGGACATATTTTAAGATCAAGTACTTGAAAAAAAAAATAAAAGATAAATATGGTCAATTCATCAAATAACCATTTCATCATGTCTACAGAATGAAGAAGGTTGTGCAGTAAATGCTCGTATTACCCCAATGAACAACTTTATTCAGCTCATTCAATTGAAAACAGTATATTGCCGAATTAGCGGCGGCGCCAGGAATCTTGACTAGGGTGGGCTCAGGCCTAATAAATGTCAAATAGGGTGGGCTCAGGCCTAGTAAATTTCAAACAGGGTGGGCTCAGATAGAATATCATTGGTTTTTTTAAGATCTGAAAAAAATTTCAGGGTGGGCTCAAACAATTTCAGGATGGGCTGAGCCCACCCCAGCCCACCCTTGGCGCCGCCACTATGCCGAATGGAACTATTGCTTATGATATTTCTTCAATTCAAAATGGTAATACTATTTGTAATATGAATATTGAATAGGATTGGATTAACGAAACATCGAATTCAATTATTACTATGAAACGAGTAGTACATAATAGTACCTTTTTTGATCACGATAATTGCATGTTTGTTGGTGTCCTATTTTCAACAAAAAATAGTTCAATAACAATGAGTCAACGAATAAATGTAATACGTTATGCATCAGTTTCTAATCGTACATTAGCAAAAATACGTGTAACTGTTGACTGTAATAATTATGTAAAATTTATTGTTATTGAACGAAACATAACAGATGAGATTTTAAATACATAGATGGTTTATGAGCATTATATCTCCTAATATTACAACAACTAATCTTGAAATAAAACTTCAATTTAATACGAGCAATAATAATATTCGACTTATAATTGAATTGAATTGTCCCATATGTTAGGCTTAATTTTGTTTGTAATACATTTTATTTAATAAATATATAAAAATATTTACAATTTTCTTTTTATAATTATCAGAAATTTATTTTTACCTTACGTTTGTCATAAAACATGTAGGAAGTAGCTAATATAATTCATGAAGAAGTCAATTTCAGATTTTCTATTCAGCAATGAGATGATCATATCGATGGGTGTGGGTTTCATTTAATAGCTATACCCACACTCTCAAGATGGTTTTTGAAACAAGCGAATAATAAAGAATTAAATCTTTTATTCATTTTTTCGATTAGTTCTGTTTCGAAGAACTCCGAGACATATAGAGAGAAAAATGCTTTATTAGTTTTGCTATTAAAAAATCGTTTTTCGATTTTGTTTTTCGAACAATACAATAAAAATGAAATGTTTCGGAGAATAAAATTGAAGAAATATGCCCGAACAAAGCCATTAAAAGTTTGAATTCGATGACTAATTAACATTCTTTACAACATTCGAAGCAGGCGATGTCTTCAATTGCGCAGCAACAGCATAAACACGCCAGACTGGAAGAAAAATAGATGAAAACATATACAATTAAAATATAAAACTTACCAATCAAAACAAGCGCCACCACCTCTTAATCCTTTAGGAAAATTATCTCGTGGTGATACATTCTGTTGAACTATTGGTGTATTATTCATCGTCGTTTGCATTTCTATTCAAAACAAAAGTAATAATCTTTTTTCGTCATTTTTAGAGTAATTTACTTACTTATTTCTTTATCATCATATACATCTCTAAAAAAAAGGAAATTTTTGTATATTGATAGAAGTTCTTATGCATTTTTAAGACTTACGAAGTAGATGGTTGTTGATGGGTAATAGCATTCATGTTTAAAATGAATTAATGTCTCAAAAATATGTCAAATTTATATCGTGATTTAAATTTGAATATAACGTTTACTTAAGTGAATTTATTATATACTCCTTCATTTCTCTTATTCTCTCTCTTTTCTTTCAATGAATAATTCTATTTATATTTTCTATTTACATTGAATGTAGAAGGGTCATACACAAAAGTACATTCTTTATTCATCTCGTTCTTCACTAGTTTAGCTGACATGAGTTGATCATTATACTCGATATAAAGTAAAGAACGAGAAAAAAGAAATGAAAAAGAAATTATTTCTTTTTCATGTGGCCTCTGAAGGTCTCCTGTTTTTCATCTGAATCGATTCTTTATCTACGTCGACTATTGAATCAGCAATGTGTACAAACATATAAATTGGTGCATATGACGCCCACGATTCTTAGACATATATACTAAGTCACCGTAGTTACACAAATATTCTTATTATTCTTCTATTTTTCTAGCGTTGGATAGAATATTCAATCCCTATTCTATACTAAATTATACCGTGCATCTTTTGAAAAAACTATCGAAATGTTTATTTACAATACAGATTATTTTTTTTGTTTATTAAACATATCATAAGGTCGATTTGCTTTTATTTTATGCTCATTTTCATTCAATTATCTCAATCATTCTTAGTTAGCCAACATCTAAATTCTAATCTAATTCTTTACCTTGTAAGAAAACATTGGTAAACTGAATGAATGTGATTATAAATGGAAATATTTATCTACTTTTCTATTTAACCTGTAATTAAAATCTGTTGAGATTTATTTCATTTGCAAAAAAAAAGATTTTATATAAATATGAATTAATAAGAAAAAAAGTTGTTAAGCATTTTAATGTTGCTGTTCAGATTTAGCTCGTCTAGCCAAGTACTCATTTTCGATATCACCAGATTTTAACGGCATCAATTGTGAAATACTCATCACATACGGTTGTTCTATTGTACCGACGATGACTCTTGCTTTTCGATTGCAGTCACCAATTAACTCTCGACACCTGCCACATGGACTAAATAATCTAAACGTATTCTTGTCATTATCATCACCAGCCAATGCTACAATTGTCTCCAATTCTTGCATCTCTCGTCCATCATTGATCATAGAACATATAGCACTCACCTCACCACATAAAGCTACTGACGATTCAATGTGAATACCAGTATAGATTTTATCTAATGGCTTGGAGGTACGCACTGCACTAACAACAACATGATAATGTGGCTTATGAAGACGATGTGAAAAACGTTTAGCTTCTTCAATAAGTTCAAAATCTTTTTCAGTTAACCTGGAATCAAACTCATTTTCGTGCTGCATTTCTATTAAATTTAAAAAAGATATGTGAATATGTTATTATCATTTAAACAAATAGAGAAAAGAAAATATGATAAGATGAGTTTCATAATATACAAGAACAAGTGAAACATGAAAGAAAAAAGAAACAGTTAGAATGATGTCATAATCTACGTTATGAGATCGAAATACTCAAGTTATCCGGCACAAGTTGCAGGGAATATCAACATTTTCTTTGCTCTAGATTTTAGTAAAAATGATGACTCATATAATAATAAAAATTGCTGGCGTAGATATTCTTCGTTCATTTAATTTCATATACACATCATATGTAATAGAAATAAAATAAATTAAAAAGATTTTCTCATTGAACTTAAAATACCAAAACAAATAAATATTGTTACTAAGAAATCATTAAATGAAAACGATAAATACATCATTCAAAATATTCTTCTCGAATATTTTATATTCATTTTTTTATAATTTTACCATTTATTCTATTTTAAATATTAAAGTAATAGCATGACGTTCATTTAATGATAATTATATTATATCATGTAATCGAATTCTCAAATTCAATTTTTGTATAGTAAAAAAATTACTTCGTAGAGACGAAAACAACATTGACACGAGATCTGTTTTTTTCTTTCTTTCTCTCTATTACTTTATGAAAAAAATGACATTTTCATAAGGTAAAAAAGCAAACCACATACATCTATATGAAAAGATATGAATATTACATTTGCTATAAAAAAAATGTCACTAATTGAATTAAATTCTCTCCAGATATTTTTTCGAAAAATATTTTAGTTGCCGAAACTGGATAAAATGAGACATATCAATAATTTCAACATTTGATTAGATTTGAACGAAGGATAATTGTTCTAGGGTTTCAAATTTTTGAATAAATATTATTTTTATTATACAGTTATTTGAATTTCTACTGTACAACGAATAATTTTGTTTTTAATAGTTGTATAGATGTATTCATCAAAAACAAATTTTATTTCAACATTTATATATTCTGATTTTTACCATAATTAGTATTCGAATACATTCAGTATGATGATTCAAGGTACTCTCACCTAACGCCAGCGTTACCTTTCCTCTCAAGTAATAAAAAAACCACGTGTGAATCGTTCCTTCGTTTCTTTTTACAAACTACACATACACAAACGTTTGTCATATGTACAGTATAGAAAAAAACATACCTATTTGTATGCTCCTATACTTGACTGAATACGTATTTTTCATGTATTAAAAATGCGGTAACGTTTATACTGTTTCTTTCTATCATATACCAGTCAGTACTCCAGCAAGAAAATAAGGAAGCAAGTTCGTACCACATTTTTTTTCTTTTTTACCTTCATTTTAATTTCTAACTTATACATTCAATATTGTTTAATCGTTAACTATTAATATGTTACCGCTCAATTCTTAGTATAAACAATGTATTTAATATTTGTCTAGTCTATTTTCTTACACGTAAATAAATCAGATATAATGTAATAAAATTTTAACTAATAGGTAATGATTAAATGAGTTAGTTAGAATATGTATGTGAGGGAGAAGGCAGCTAGTATTAGAAATATTTACATAATGATCTTTACGTGGAATAAAAATACACGTTTGTATTTCTTTCAGTTTTATTCGTTGTTTTTGCTCAGTAAATGAACAAAACAAGCATTTAACATGCATATTCTTCGTATTGAAACTAAAGCGTATTCCTACATGTTCTGGTCACACGTAATCTTTGAGAATACGAGCGATAGATCATCTTCTAAGTCACGATCTCTATAATAGACTTTTGAGCTCGTCAGTGTATATATCATTATGGAGTTCTCGCTCACAGCTTCCAGGTACTAAAAATAAACATCGAATGAAAAGAAATCAATTTTAGGTAGTTTTCTCATGACTTTAATAAATTTAGATAAATTCGTATTATGTAAGCAAAGTTTTATAAAACTTATCCGACAATAATCATGCAAAATACAGAACTGGATGTATTCAGTACATTGGTAAGTCATCCAGTCAGGTTTATAGACGCCAATAAACATCGTTATACCGAAACAGATCGATTGCAAAGTGATGAAACAGACGAAGAAATACAAGGTAAATTGCGAGATATGATTTTAGCATGTGGAAATAATTCATATTCATTTAGAACTAACAAAACAATCGACAAAAGCATTAGATTTAGAAAAACGCGTAAAGCACGTATGTTGACACGTCAAAGAAAGAAACTTATGTGTTTACATTATATTTTATTATAGGTTATCGAAACATTACAACTTAATCTTGAAGATTCTACGAAGTATATTATAAATTCAAAAACTCCTCTTCTTATTGTATTTCGAATATTTTTAGTGAAATTCCAGCTTATTTTGGCTTTTTAAAATTCGTATATGCAAACGATGCTGATAGAAACGATCGTTTATCATCGGTAAGTCATACTGATCTCTAAGCTACAAAAACCTTATTTTAACATTCAGTTCATTCATCTTGCCACTAAATCACGACCTTGGACAGTAGCAAATCTTATCGAAGCATATCATCTTCCTACTCCTGATTTTATCTTATCAATCCAAACAGGAAATAATCATAATCTTCTCAAAGAAAAATCAGGCATTCAAGTTGAAACTGAACATGCTATTCAACGTGGCCTATCTGCTACAGCAATGATAACACGTAATTAATTTCTTGAAATACTAAAACGTTGTTTTTATATAAATTAAAAATATAGATCCATGGATTACAACAAGTTGTATCAATCAAGATATGATTAGACTAGTTGGTAATGCTCTTCATAGTGATATGTGTGGAGTTGACGTTCCTTGCATTAGTTTTTGTAATTGGAAATATGTAGCAGGTATTTCTCTTCTTATTACTAAATATAATCGAATCAATTTTTTCCTCTTTAGATCATCAACAATTAGAAAAAAACAGTGTTGTTACATCAACACTTCATGACACGCGATTTGCAGTAATTATTAATAAAAAATTGTATTAAAATGTTTATTTTTCTTAGTTTGACGATGAAGATAATAGACGACGTTCTATTCATGAATATCAATTAATAACAAAAAGAAATTATGAAAATCGAAATTCTGGTTGGCATTTAGATCCAAATCATACACATTTTCTTCTTTTTGATGATGGAACTAATGACGTAAAAAATGTATTATTAAAACGTCAAGAAATCGAACATGAATTTAGTATTAGTCGAGCATTAAAGTCACCTGTAGGTGGTTATCAACCAAAGCACACAAGTATGTCTTACTAGAAATTATTCATTAATAATTAACATACTTTCTAGGATTTGATAATGATATTCCGATTGTTATGTTATTATTGGGTGGTGATTTTACAACATTAACTGCTATATGTAAAAGTTTAGAAAATGGAACACCGCTTGTTGTTGCTAGAGTAAGTCAGTGGCGGATCTAGGGTTTTGGAAGGGGGGGGGGCGATTTTGGCTAAAAGCTATTTAATGAGTCCATTCAAGGTAGTGTGAACCTATTTTCTTTCGTTCATTTTTGCTGTAAAAAATAAAATTCGGAACGGGGGCGATGGGGGTGATTGCCCCTCCCCCCCTAAATCCACCACTGTAGTAAATCTATCTACTTTTTGAAATTATTTATTACTATTTTTTGTTTCAGGATACTGGTGGTCTAGCTGATATTATTACTCAACTTTGCCGAAAATTATCTCCAATTGATGAACTAGCAGAATTTCGAAAAATAACGTATATTGAAGAATGTAAAATTGAATTAAAAAGATTATGTTATAAGGAAGGTATACTTACAGAACGAGATGATGAAATTAAAATTGAAGATCAAATTAGTGAAATTGAAAAATATATAAATGTGCTGAATGAAATGGAAACACTTATTGTTGTTTATGATGCTATAGAACATAAAGGCAATTTAGAAAATGCTATTTCAAGTGCAATGTTAAAGGGTATAAAATATCAAGTTGAAAATTATGAACAACTGCTTAGTTCAGAAACGAGAGCAGCTGAATTAGTATGGTGTTTGGTAAGATTTATTTACTTATTCTTCGTTTGAAAAAAAATATTTTTTTATGGGAAATTCTTAGATCTGGAATAAAGATGATTATGCACGACAGTTATTAATTGATCGGAAAGATCAGACAATCATATCAACGAACGATATGTATCCAAAAAAAGATCAGGTAAGAAATACAAACAGTTGAACGAAATTATTTCGAATATCTTTATAGATAAATACATTGACACAACAACTACTATTTGAAGCTTTGTATCGAAATAACGTTCTTTTTGTTAGTCTATTGATGGAACATGGCGCATCAATAGAAGATTTAACAGATGAACAATTTATTATTATTTGTATTAAAACTATGGTAAGTTTAATCAAGAAAAAAAAAATATCACAAATCATTTATATGAATTTTTCAGAATAACAATGCACTTCCGCTTGATCCAATACCTATTGATATGTTCTCACAAAAACGTATTATTAATATCAATGATCTTACACAATATGTCGAACGAACATATAACAATTATCTTCAACAATATTTAGGACATTATGTAAGTATCGAATATACGAATAAGAATATTATTATATTTATATTCTAAAGGAAAATGAGCGAAAAAAGAATCAAGCAAGACACCAACGCTTAAGTACACGTAATAGAAAACAAGATATTAGTTCGAGTTATACACCAATATCAGAAATATTCAATGAACGTAAAATTGAAGCACTTTATCTTTGGTTTATATTTATGAATCAACCAAATATGGCGAAATATCTTTGTTCTAGAAGTCGAGTAAGAGCAAAAAAAAATATATCTTAATTTATTTTCATGTTTATAATTCTATTAGAATCAAACAGTTGCAACTCTTCTTGCAGCTGAGATTTATAGTGAAGCAATTAAAAAAGATACCAAAAATAAGAAGGATTTAAATATAATTGCACAGTAAAATTAATGAATTTATTCGATATTTTATTCTATTTTTGAAATATTTTAATAATAGAGAATTTGATCGACATTCAAGAGGTATCATAGATAAATGTTTTGCTAAAGATGATAATTTTGCTCTCAAATTACTTAAATCAAAAGCAACAACATTCTACAATTGTTATCCATTAGATGTTGCACGACGTGCAGATTGTCGAATTTTTCTTGCTAGTAATACAATACAAAAACATCTTCACGATAAATGGTATCATCATTTTGATCATCAACGACGATTTATGAAAATGTCAAGTTCTATTTGGGTTTGTCAAAAACTCAAAAAATAAAATTCTATTGGATGTTATTTAGATTTGTCTTGTATCATTAATTCTACCTATGATACCCATTGCTTCAGTACTTTTTCCTTGCTTATATAGAAAATCATCCAGCAATTCAAAACCAGTAAGTATACAAGACATGTACTATTTCGATTTAAATATCTTTGTTTTATATAGCAACAGGAAACATCAAATCTATATCGTTCGACAGTAACATATCAATCATTACCGGAAAAAGATGAAAATATTGGTTCAAATACTCCTAGTGTACGCGATCGAATTAAATGGTTCTATGAAGCACCAGTGGTACATTTTTATTATAATTTTGTATGTATTTATTATTTTCTATGATTGAATTGAATGTTCGTGTGTCATTTAGATATTTTTTGTATCATTTTTGACTTTATTCAGTTATGTTCTTCTTGTGGATTATTTTCCATTGAATATTTATGGTGAAAAACGATCCGGTATTGAAAATTTACCAATACCAATCACGGAAATTATATTACATATTTGTATTGGTAGTTTAATTATTGATGAACTTTCTCAAGTTAGTTCTGGGTTTCTTTAGTTGAGTTAATATATTTTACTCTCGATATGATTTATTTAGTTTATCTTACAAACTACAAAGAAATATCATTACAGTACTAATCCTTGGAATTGGATGGATTTAGCGGGTATTTTATTCTATTTAATTGCATTCATTACTCGATGGTTTGTTATCGAATCAGTTTTTATATGTTCAAAGTAAAATTATATCTTATTTAATACACTTAGTTCAAATATGAGTACATTTCTTGATTTAGAATATTTATGTCGATCGATCTTGTTATATGGTATATTCGAATACTCTATCTCTTTGCTGCATACGAAGTGTTAGGACCCAAGTTAACGATGATCTATGAAATGGTTAGTTTATCATACATTATAATAATATTTTGTTTATGTATAACTTTCTCTTATAGATGAAAGATGCTTTATTAATCTTTTTATGTTTCATTCTGATTATATTGTTTGGATTCTCGATTGCTTCTTGGTCTCTTTTAACAACTTCACAACAAGTTGTTTGGTCAAATACAACTAATGACACCGATATTAAAGTGACTGTACTCAGTGAAGATACTGGTAAATTATGGCGTTGGCAAGTACTAAGAGATGTTTTTAATTGGGGTATTTGGAAAGTATTTGGACAAGTGGCCGAACCATATAATGATGCTGTTAGTGGTATGAACTAAAATTCTTATGTTTATTGCTATTAGAAAATAAGAAAAAATTATATTCATTATTTTTAGAAAATGATGCTTATGGTACATTTGTTTTCATATTTGCAATTGGTTTTACAGTTATATCAAATGTTCTTCTTCTTAATGTTCTAATTGCTATGTTCAAGTAAATATAATAATAAATATAAGACTTTTTTATTAATCCATATATATATATATATATGTAGTGAGAAGATTTTACGTGTTCAAGAAAAATCGAATGAACTATGGCGATATCAACGATTCTGGTTAATTTATGAATATAAAGATAAAACAATATTGCCTCCTCCATTCAATATTTTATGTTATATTATTCAAGCTATTGAATATATAGTCTGTTGCAAATGTCATCCCAAATCTTCTATTTCATTGAATCAATATATTAGTAAAATTTGTATATCTCTTAGAAAATTTTCATAATGATTTGTTTTTGTTTGTTAGAGGAGTTATCTGAACAAAATCCGACAATTAGGAATACTACTGAACCGTCTCTAGTCGATACACGTCAGATGAATCGTGAGAAAGTTTTTGGTGAAGCCTATTGGGAACAAATTTTTGAAGAAGAAAAACAAGAAAAAATGTAAGTTTATCTTATTTACTCAGCTAATAATTAAACCTTTTTCTCTGCACAGGTTAAATCAAAAGAAAAGCGATGAAACAAGTGAAATATTGCAAACTGATGATTATCAAAAACTAAATGGAACACTTCAAGTATAGTATTCATAGTTTGTTTTTATAATATATCTTCTGTGTTTATTTCGTATATAGTCACTGGAAAAACTCGATTTTAGCGATAAACAAATTGGCCATAAAGGAGCTGAACAGCTTGCTGATGCCATACGAAAAAATACGGTAAATTACATATTCTTATCATAGTACATGTTTGAATTTATTCTTTTCTATGTAGACACTTACTCAGCTGGATTTATCGAAAAATCATATTGGTAATCTAGGTGTTCAATATTTATCCGATGCTTTTCTACATAACAAAGTAAATTGGATTCTTTCTTTCTTTTACATATTCAACTTCATTTTTTCACAATAGACGATTATAACCCTTGATCTCACCAATAATGATATCGGAGCTCAGGGTACTCAATATTTAGCTAATGCCTTCCGAAACAATAAAGTAAATCTTATTCATTGCATTCAAATATCCTTTTCTCGTATGTAGACACTCGTTGAAATTGATCTTTCGAAAAATCATATTGGAAACGAAGGAGCCGAGCACATAGCAGATGCCTTCCAACATAATACAGTAAATGATTTGCTTCTCTGTATATTACTAACTCATATATTTTCTTTTTTCTTGAATACAGACACTTACAACACTCAAACTTCAAGCTAATCGAATAACAAATTATGGTGCCGAATGTCTTGCTGATACTCTACGAAAGAATACGGTAATTTTTTTTCCTTTGTTTATATTTTAATGATCATTTTAAATAATCAACATAGACAATTACTATGCTCGATCTTCGATGGAATAAAATTTCTGCCAAAGGAACACAACAACTGGCTGATGCGTTAGCACATAATACTGTAAATATTTTATATGTTAGTATCATTCTCATCTATATTCTTCTACATAGACACTTACATTTCTTGATCTTTCATGGAATGAAATCGATAATAAAGGAGTTGAATCTCTAGCTGATACTTTACAAAATAATAAAGTAAATTTTCTTTGAAACTTGTTTCCTTGCATAATATTTTCAATTTTTTGTACAGACACTCACCACATTGAACTTAGCATCGAACAGAATTGAAGGTCAAGGAGCTCAACGATTGATTGCTTCTCGCCAGAATTATATGGTATAATTGTTTCTTTTCGTATATATTCAGTTGTAATTTGATCTCTTCTTCATAAAAAGATTCCTACAATACTTAATCTTTCCAGTAATCAAATTGGGTCCGATGGAGCCAAACATGTCGCTGATGCTTTACAAAATAATAAAGTAAATCTTTTTTTTTGTTGCATTACTTTCATTGATATTCTGTTCTGTAGGCAATTACTACACTCGATCTCAGTAGTAATCGAATTGGAGATGATGGATTAAAACATTTGATTGATGCCTTACAAAATAACTCAGTACATCACTCACTGTCTTGCTTTAATATTATCAGATACATATTTTTTTTGTATAGACACTGATTACACTCAATCTATCCAGCAATCAAATTAGTCAGACTGGTATCAAATATCTGACAGATGCTATAGAACATATTACTGTAAGTTTTATTTCATCTATTCTATATAAATGTTTATTTTTTCATGCAGACACTCACGACACTTGATCTTAATTACAATGAAATTGGAGCAGGTGGTGCTAAAGATCTAGCTGCTATTTTATTAACAAATACAGTTAAATCATTCTCATCACATCTAATTCATTTTAATATTTATTTATATATATATATAGACACTAACTACTCTGTTACTCTCAAGTAATCAAATTGGACCTGCTGGAATGCAATATTTTTCATATGCCTTGCAAAATAATATGGTATATTGTATTGCTTGTTTATATTTCTCAGTTGTATCAGTATTTTATAATATAGACAATTACTACAATCGATCTATCGAAGAATCAGATCGCAGATGAAGGTATCAAACATGTAGCAAATGCTTTGAAATATAACACTGTAAGTAACATTATCTTATCATTTTTTCTACTAATAGCTTCTTTATCTTTAGGCGATTACTACGATTAATCTATCAAACAATCGTATTACAGACAATGGAATCGAACAACTAGCTAACGCGTTAAAAATAAACAAGACAATTGTTTCAATCGATCTTGCATGTAACAAAATTACAGACAAAGGAGCTAATTCTTTAGCTTCTCTGCAATACCACAACGTAATACTTTAGCCTTCTCTGATCTTTCTTGTACCGTTACATTTTTTCTATGTAGATGATAATCAAAGAGCTCGATCTTGCAAACAATCTAATCGGAGATCAAGGTGCTCGATTACTTGCTAGCTATTTACAATATCAAACTGTAATACTTTTCTATCTGTATATTCTTATTTTACTTTTACATATTTCCTTTCAGTTATTATCGAAATTCGAGCTCATAGGTAATCCAATTACAAATAATGCTGCACAATATCTGTCTGAAGCTTTCCGACATAATACAGTAAACGAACGTTTTTTAACTTTGTAAATGTTAACTTTACATTCTCATACAGACACTTACTACATTTAATCTTCCAGTCTATTCAGTTGACTCCGAAGGGATTCAACATCTTGCAGATGCATTCAGAAACAATACGGTACATATATTTCTATCTTTATTTGCTTATTACTATTGTCGCATTTTTACATAGACACACACGACACTCAATCTTGAACATTGTAGTATTGGACGTACAGAAACTCGAATTCTTGCTGTTGTTTTGCGGCTTAATACGGTAAATAACAATATTGTTTTAATATGCTTAAACATATAGTCATTTTCTTATATAGACACTTACGACACTCAACTTGAGAGATAATAAAATATCGAGTGAATCAGCTCAATATCTCGCCGAAGCTTTACGAACTTGCACGGTTAATCATTATTCTCTTCTTGTCTTCTCTTTTTTAGACTTCTGAGTTTTTCTTACAGACATTGACTACCCTCGAACTTGGAGGCAATGAAATTGGTGTCGAAGGTGTTCAACATTTAGCTGATGCTATCAAGCACAATAAGGTGAACAATCATATTCAGTTTTCTTTTTTATTAACATTACCATTGTTGTGATATAGACACTCAATACGCTCGATCTTGGATCGAATGGAATCAATGCTGAAGGAGCGAAACATTTAGCTGGTGCTTTTCAGAATAACAAGGTGAATATTTCCTTCATTTTTTCATTATCATCAAAATATTCATTTTTCTCAACTAGACACTTAGTTCACTTGATCTCAGATCGAATAGAATCGGAAGCGAAGGTACACGCTATTTAGCTGATGCATTTCGATCTAATGAGGTACTGATCTTTTCCTATTGCTCTATATCATAGATCTGTTCGTTTTTATTTCATGTAGACACTTATTACACTGGATCTCACAGGAAATGCAATCGGTGCTGAGGGAGCACAATATTTGGCTGAAGCGTTTCACAATAATAAGGTGATTGGTTTCGTTTGCCTATATTATTGTCATTCACGTTATTTTTTGTTTTGTTTATATAGACAATTACTACAATTTATCTCGGGATGAATGGAATCGGAGTTGATGGAGCGAAACATTTAGCTAATGCTTTTGGAAACGATATGGTAAATATATTTCTGTTATTTTTATAAGATCAACAACATCAGTCATTTTATATAGGCACTCAGTACACTCGATCTTCGAGGTAATGAAATTAGTGCAGAAGGAACACGATATTTAGCAGATGCCTTTCGAAATAATAAGGTAAAGATTTGCCGTTTTTTTTTCTTTTTGTAATCGAGAGCTTCATCTTTCTCATATAGACACTTACCATACTCGATCTCCGTTCCAATGGAATAGGAGATAAAGGACCACAATATTTAGCTGATGCTTTTCATGGGAATACGGTAATCATATTTTTCTTTCTATCATGGACATATGTACTTCTTTATTTTAGACACTTACCAAACTTCATCTTGGATCAAATGGAATTCGTGCCAAAGGATCACGATCTTTAATTGATGCTTTTCGATATAACACGGTAAAACAAAGAAAATTTTCTTATATATACAAATAATTTTGTTATATAGACACTTACTACATTTGATCTCTCAGACAATAGAATCAGCGTGGAAGGAGTGAAATATTTAGCTGATGCTTTTCGAGATAACAAAGTAAATCTTTTTCTATAATTCTCTATATTACTATTTCTTTTGCATAGACACTCACAACGCTCAATCTCTCAAATACTAAAATCGGCAGTGAAGGTGTACAATATTTAGCTGATACATTTCTCAATAATACAGTCAATATCTTTCTCTTCAATTGCTCATGTCAATACTATCATTTATCTTTTATATAGACACTTACCGAACTTGATTTGTCCAGTAATAAAATGGACTTCGATGGGATTCAACATCTAGCAGATGCTTTGCGAAATAACACAGTTATTATCTTTCATTTTTATACTTGTCTTATCTACATTTGTCTTTTATATGTAGACACTCACTATACTCAATCTTTCGGACAATAAAATTGGTGATCAAGGAATACATTATCTAGTTGATGCTTTTCGAGAAAATACAGTAATTATTTTGTTCAATTTCTTTTTATTATTCATACCTATATTTTTCTTACATAGACTCTTACCACACTCGATCTATCAGATAATGAAATCAGTGCTGATGAAGCACAATATATGGCTAATGCTTTTGAAGATAACAAAGTAAATCTATTTGTTTTTGATTTTCAATGATATCCTAACATTGATTGCATAGACACTCAGCAAAGTCTATCTTCAACGAAGTGATAAGAACGACAAAGACATCCGACAAGTCTCTGAGATTTTAAGAACATATGTATTGATTGTTATTTTCTTGTTAGATATTTTGTTTACATTTTCATTTAAAGATACAAACACTCGACACCCAGAGCCCAGCAACAACTGACGTTTTAATTGGAGTACCTGAAGCTGTAGCAGATGCGTTACAACGTACCAAAGTAATTTCAACTTTTTCATTTTATTTCACATCTCAATTCTTTAAACAGAGTATTACCACACTTCGCCTTCGAGACTTAAAAATTGATCCAAAAGGTAGTCAACGTCTAGCTGTTGCTTTACAAAATAATAAGGTTATTTTCTTGTCCTATAATTCATATTTTTATTATTCTCATACAGACACTTACTACACTCGATCTTACGTCAAATATAATTGGTGCCGAAGGGACACAATATTTAGCTGATGCTTTTCGAAATAATACAGTAAATACATCTTTCCTTCATTTACCACTCAAATTTTCTTACGTATAGACACTCACTACACTTGATTTGACGTTGAATGCAATTGGTGTTGAAGGCATACGATCTTTAGCTGATATTTTTCGAAATAATACAGTAAATAGTTTTCACTTTTCTTCGTAATGCTAAAATAATTATATATATCCGATAGACACTCACTACACTCAATCTTCGATCAAATGGAATTGGTACTGAAGGAGCACGTTATTTAGCGGATGCTTTTCGAAACAATAAAGTAATATCTATTTGGCTTTTTTTTAGTATATTTTCATTTTTCTTCACATAGACATTGACTTCACTTGATGTAGGATCAAACAAAATCGATGATGAAGGAGTAAAATATTTGGTCGATGCTTTTCGAGATAATAAAGTGACTATTTTTCTTTGCATTTTTTGTCATTATTATCTTTACTTTTCGCTTATAGACACTTACTAGTATATACCTTGGATCGAATGAGATTGATACAGAAGCGATGCAATATTTAGCGAAAGCATTTCATGATAATCAGGCAAATATATTTTCTTTTCTGATCATTAATCTTTTTTTCGTGTAGACATTTACTACAATCGATCTTCAGTCAATTGAAATCGGAGATAAAGGTGTACAATATTTAGCTGAAGCTTTTAAAGACAACAATGTAATGATAAGTTATTTTTTTTACTCTATTATTTATAAGTGCATTTTTTAATTCACATAGACACTTACCACTCTGAATCTTTCGGATAATGCAATCAGTGCTGAAGGAGCACAATATCTGGCAGATGCTTTTCAAAATAACACGGTAATAGGATCATTTTCTCTCGATGTCCACTATTGATATTTCTATTGTTTTCATATAGACACTTATCAATCTTGATCTCTCATATAATGCTATTGGTGCCATTGGTACACAGTATCTAAGTAATGCTTTTCAAAATAATACAGTAAATAGTCTCTTTTGTTTGTATTCATGATACATATAATTTTCGAATATAGACGCTTACTAGTCTCCATCTTGGTTCAAATGAAATCGGTGTCGAAGGAGCACAATATTTGGCAAATATTTTACGAGATAATGAGGTAATCTGTTATTCTCTTATAGTCGTCGAAGCCTTTACTATTCTCTTATAGACATTTACTACGCTTCATCTTCGATTAAATGCAATTGGTGATAAAGGGATACAATATCTAGCTGATTCTCTTCGAAATAATAAGGTAATTATATAACACTTTGTCATGCTATTGTCGATATTCTCGACTTTTTTTTATATAGACATTGACTACTCTCGATGTTGCGGATAATGCAATTGGAGATAAAGGTGTACAACATTTAGCTGATGCCTTTCGAAACAATGAGGTAGCATTCTTTCTTCTTTTCTTTATCGTAAAGATCTTTATATTTCTTCTATAGGTTCTAACCATTCTTCATCTCGAAAACAATTATATAGGAAAAAGATCCAAACGTCGAGTGATTCAAACTTTAAGACAAAATACTGGATTGAAGTTGTTTCTCTAAAATAACTGTTTTTAATTGACATTGATTTATATTATATAGTCCTTTTCTTTTAAAATATATTATTTAATAAACAAAAAACATGTTGAGGGTGTGAGTGTGAGTATTATATCTATCGCGCACTCACACCCTCAAGATTACGCACAATCTACATATAACAGTGATTCATGTATGTCTCATCGCAATAAATAAATACTTTACTTGTCATCGTTTAGAAACATGAGAAAAAAAAGTGTCATATAACGCATGTCTCTGTCGGTTTGATGTACTTACTCATTTTGTCTTTCGACGAATATATTTATCAGATGAGTCAGTCACACTTATTAGAGTGCATGGTTTATTTTCTTTTATTTCTTTTTTGTAACTCGTCATATTTTAAATAGTGAAAAATATTTTTTACTTATTTTTTAAAACAAAACAGTCGACAGATTTAGTTTGAAGTAATATATTGTTAACTCATTCATGGGTCAATATATATCTACATCATCATCAATAAAGACAGCGAGATCAAATTCCATTTCTCCTATTGATTACGAATTTGATTCTCCTCGTTTTACTGTTAATGATGCAGAACAGATACAACAAGGTATCGACCATTTAAACGAACATGGTTATGCAGTATTCTCTACTGTGCTTTCGCCTAATGAGATTACTTTGAATATCGATTTATTATGGGAACATTTCGAAAGTTTATTACCACCATATTTTATTAAGCGAGACGATGCAAAAACATGGGATGACGCATGGCCTGGAGCGCCTGAGTTCGGAATATTGTCAGATGACGGTTTTGGTCACTCACAATTTATGTGGTCGATCCGAGGTAATCCAAATGTAAAAAAGATTTTTACAGAAATTTGGAAAACACCTGAACTACTTGTATCATTCGATGCTGCTGGTTGCTTTCGTGATTGGCATATAAATCCTTTTTGGAAGACAGTAAGTGGATGGTATCATTGTGATCAAGTATGTATTATTGCCTAGTCGTTTTTGTTCAAATAATTTATATATTTTCTATTTACAGAATCCAATGGAAAAGTCTAATCGTTGTTCGATCCAAGGTTTTGTATCTTTAACAGATAATGATGAATCTACTGGTGGTCTTGTTGTTGTACCTCAGTCACATAAACATTTTGATGAACTTCGATCAATTGCTGATAAGAACAATGCGGGTACCAATTCCATCAACGTACCTAAAACACATTCTTTGTTACAACAATTTCAACCGCGTTTAGTTAAATGCCAAGCAGGTGATCTTGTAGTGTTTGATTCTCGATGTATTCATTGTAATACGCCAGGTCTCGATACTAACAGTAACATAAAAAAAATAAAAAGTTCAATTAAAAGTCAATATCCTCGATTATTGCGCATTGTTGCATATATTTGTATGAGTCCTACAGCTATGGTTCCACCCGACAAACTCGATAAATTTCGAGAGACCAGAAAAGGATTGGTTATAGACAGAAAGTCTTGTACACATTGGCCTGCTGAACTACATGTTTCTGGTAAGTAATATTTCAATAACGACAAAATGATATAATAGATTTGTATAGGCGGACCACAACATGGTATTGCAAAACCACTTCGTCTTTCCACATACCAGCAATCTCTTATATTTGGTACTGATATTGAGTTCAATGATGAAACAACAAGTCAACTAACGGATATGTGATTTCGAATTTCATATTGGACATTATTTTTTTCTTACAGGAAGGTAACTAGTTACGATAAAAAATGTAATATATTTGATTAGCTATTTCTTTTGATGGTTTTTTTCATTTAATAATGTTTGTTTTTTTGTTGAAGCTGTTAGTGAAATTCTTTCCATAACGCATGGATGTCATCAGTTACGAGAATAAATATTTTTTTGTTTTAAAATACAATGATTCATTGTTTTATGTCTTCTCTGAGATACATCATGTACAATTCATTGTAAAGTAAAGTTTATGACTCGATAAAACTTATTTTAGTAAATAGTTATAAATTATATAGAAGTAAATTTTTTATCAAATTCAAAGACAAAATTATATTGTCATTGATATTATTTATCGAATTGAGCAGTTGTATACTATAACAAACGAACATGATACCTTCTTTTTTAATATTTACACTCAAAACAAAACTTAAATGATATAGTAAGATTTTGTAGCTTTATTTAGAATTTTTTGTATTAATTATAGACGAAATACCTTTTTTATTATTTATATTTATGTATATGTATTTATCACATATTTAACAATTACTCATCAAGTGAATATTCACATCGCTTGAGGAGAATAAAGGCGGGTGTGAATCATTTCATTCAAATTACCTTCTTTTTTTTCTCATAGTTCTTTTCTCTTTCTGTTCTTCATATACAGCATATATATCGCATCGCAATAGACTGATGTTAGTCCTTAAAAAACTTACCATCCTTCTAGCAGTATTGTTTCTGAAGGACGTTTTTTTTCTTCTCTACTGTGAATCTTGAAGCACTACATCAAAACGACTCATTTACCCTTCTGTTCTTTTATATTTATATTTCTCTCGTCATATAACGAGTTGTCAGTGTTGTCAAAGGTAACGAGAAAAAAAAGAAACTATTAACTATATTATATACATAAGTATGAGAGAATGACAATACAATAAATACTTGTGCATTATTATTTTTAGTTTTACTATATAATTCGATTTGTCAATATTTACTCATAAATGGCAAGCAATACAACCAATGTTGCGCAAAGCATGCAAGGATCTTCACTTTCACAATTTTTTACAACACTTATAGTCTCGGCAGTAGTTGCTGTTGTTGAAATTATTATATTTATTATTGTTAGAACAATATTCAAACGTATTTATGAACCAAAAACATATATTGGAGATGAAAATCGACGTGTCGAACCTTTACCTAAAACACCTTGGGGTTGGTTACCTGCTTTATTAAAAATGCCTCAAGAAGAACTTATTCGTACTTCTGGTCTTGATGCGTACTTTTTTGCGCGCTATCTCTATATTCATGCGTTCTTTTTTCTGAGTTCATTCGTTCTTGTAGGAATCGTTTTATTTCCTATATATACCGTTGACGGAAAAGGTGAAGCTTATGGTAAGAAAGGACTCGATATATTAACTTTTGGCAATATTTTACCCAGTAATTCTTCTCGTTACATCGCTCCTTTAGTACTCGGCTATGTTTTTATTGGTATATATCTCTACATTTTATACATAGAAATGAAAATTTTTGTTAGAAAACGTCAAACACTCCTAAGAAGTCCTGCGTATCAGTCTCGTGCCAGTGCAACAACTATTCTCGTAACTGCAATACCTAAACCGTACATGTCACAAGATATTCTCTTTCGAATTTTTAATCAATTACCCGGTGGAGTAAAACATATTTGGTTGAATCGAGATCTCGAAGATCTTCCTGATAAAGCAAAGGAACGTACGAAATTAGTAGACAAACTTGAGGCAATCGAATGTAAATTGATCAAAACTGCATTAAAAACCGAGGCAAAACGTCACAAAAAAAATGCGGATACAAAAGTATATCCTATAGTAATTGGAGAAGATGCTATGGATAGATATATTCCGGAGAAAAAACGACCCACAATGAAAATTGGATCTATTCCATTACTTTCTTCTCTATGTTTTGGTAAAAAAGTTGATGCACTTACACATTGTAAAGAAACCATTTCAAAATTAAATACTGAAATCGAACAAGCAAAAACAACCCTAGATAATTATGCAGCTATAAATTCTGCATTCATTCAATTCAATAAACCAATAGCAGCTCATCTGGCTGTTCAAAGTGTTGCCGCTTCGATTCCTTTAGCAATGACACCTCGTTATATCGATATAAAACCAACAAATATCGTTTGGTCAAATTTGAAATTAACTTACTACGAACAGAAAATTAGAGAAATCGCCGTGTTTGCAGCAACTGCTGTTCTCATTGTCTTTTGGGCAATTCCTGTTGCTTTCGTTGGTATTCTGTCTAATATAACTTATCTTACAGAAAAATTGACATTTCTTCAATTCCTGAACGACATACCGAGCGTTGTTCTAGGCTTAATAACTGGTCTTCTACCAACTATTCTCTTATCAATTTTGATGGCATTACTTCCTATTATACTAAGATTATTTGCAAAAACAACGGGAATTCCAACTACCGACGCAATCGATCGTTATGTACAAGGATCTTACTTTGTTTTTCAAGTTGCTCATGCTTTTCTATTCGTCACTATTTCCAGTAGTGTTTCAAGTGTTATAGTTATGATTATTCAAAATCCGTCGAGTGCTGCAATCATTCTTGCTGCTAATATTCCAACTGCTAGCAATTTTTTCTTTAGCTTTCTGGCATTACAAGGATTGACTATGGCACCAAGTCTTTTATTACAAATTGCTACGCTCATTTTATTTTATCTTTTGGGTAAATTATTTGATAATACACCGAGAAAAAAATGGAAACGATATTTTACACTAAGTAGTCTCAATTGGGGTACGATATTTCCTGTTTTTACAAATTTTATCGTCATCACGCTCGTTTATTCGATCATTGCACCATTAATGCTTCTCATTTCTGGATTAGCATTTGGTTTATTCTATATTGCTTATGCTTACACAATGTTTTATGTTACTGACTTTCCCAATGATGCTGGTGGTCTCGCGTTTCCAAGAGCTATTTATCAATCGTTTACAGGCATTTATCTTATGGAAATTATGCTTGCAACATTATTCTTTCTCGCACAAAATGATTCCGGTTCACAATCAGCTATTGTTGAAGCTATTTTCATGTGTGTATCTATCGCTATTACAGTTGCTGTACAGTATACGATGTGTACTAGCTTCGATCCTCTTACCTATTATTTACCTATTGATGCAGAAGAATTCTCACAACGGGATATCCCCGTTAGTGGAAAATTTGGAATAACGAAGAAAGTAACCAGAATTCTGAACCATCGTCAATCAATCAATGACAGTGACAGTGTTAGCACTGTAGATCAGGCTGTGAATGAGGTATATGATAATACAATGGAGAACGCATATTTACACCCGGCATTACGAGATCCTAAGCCTATAATTTGGATTCCACGTGATAATTTAGGTATTGCAGCAGATGAAGTACAAAAAACTGAAGCTTCCGGCATGAATATACTTATGTCGACTGAAGGTGCACGATTTAATGACAAGATAAATATAGAGATTAACGGTGCACCACCTGATCATATGCCATTTACTGAAACGAATCAGGTTCGAACTCGTTTTTAGAAAACTTAATTACGTATCATATATATATACAATTTACAACAAACAATTTATGATCATCATACCCATGCATATCTACATGTACATTGTCAAGTGCTCCCTATGTATTTCAATAATAAGAACTCTGAAAAGATTTGAATTGCATTTGCTGTCTCCAAAAGTTATGCTTGCTTTATTTTTTTTATTTCTTCAAACATAATATATAATATTAAATATTCTAAAATTTCATCAAAACTTCTTATTTTCTAGTGCTATTCGCCTTGAGAGTGGATGTAGATCATATTTCTTTAATTATCTACATCTAACCTGAAGATGCCATTTTAGATAACTATTTAGGTGCACATAGCTACTTTCAAAATAAAATTAAAAAAATGGTTATTTCATATATTGATAAATAGCTTTATATATATTTTTTTATCGAAAATTAATCTTACTGATAAGTGAAACTCCATGAGAACATACATATAGATCGACAAAGTCTTTCTCACTGATCGCAAGTCTAAAACGAACGATGTATTGGCCTAACCGTTGTCTGCTTTACTCTATAAATTAATGAACCAGCATGGAAATTCTTAACAATAATATTATCATTCGAAAGTGAACTGATAAGTATCACTGTTTGTTTCTAAGATTAAATTCATTGATTTTGCCTTCGATAAAT